CCGGCCGCCGTCATCGCCCCCTCCCTCAGGCCCTGCCCCTTCCGCGTTGTTGTTTACTGTGACGCGCGGTTTGTCCTGCTCTGCCCGCCGTCGCCCCGCCCCCTCCACAGCGCAGCGCAGTACAGCGGCCATGGCGGAGCCGGCCGTGAGCGCCCACGACGTGCAGTGCCTGGTGCGCAGGAAGGACGAGATCGAGGCGCAGATCCGGGCCTGCTACGAACTCCTGGAGGACGTGAGTGTGCGCCGGGCCGCGTGTGCATGCGTGAGTGTGTAGTGGGGGTGTGTGTAGCGGTTGTGTATGTGACTGAGTGTAACAGGGACACGTGTGTGTGCGCACGTGCCTGTGGGGGTGTGCCTGAGTGTGTGCGCGTGTGGGGTGTGGGAGGCTCTGGGGCGGGGGCGGGGTCTGACACGGGCGCTGGCCGAGCCCCCAAAGGCAACGTGGGGCGGGCACCGGGCGCCGTGCAACCACGTGTCTCCCTCGCAGCAGAAGGGCGTCGGGATGAGCGAGCCGCTGGTGGACGCGGAAGGATACCCGCGGGCAGACGTCGACCTGTACCAAGTGCGCACGGCGCGGCACAACATTATCTGTAAGCAGCTCGGTGGTCGCGGAGCGCGCTCGGGGCCCCGGTGAACGGCGCAGGCTCACGTCGGTGTCCCCCGGGGCAACGACAAATAGACGTAGTCACGTACAACGTCCCTGTGTGAAAATACTTTGGCGGAAAGGGAGTTTGGTCCCTCAATTTGTTTACGTTGCTGTTGATCCCTCCAGCTCTCATTCTCTTCTAAGGGTTTATCCACCTCTAGGTGTTGTTACCACTGTTATAACACGGCTGTCCCTAAGTGAGATTGATGTTAATTCATAAGGAGCCCTGTTTGTGCACTCCGTGTGGCCACCAGTTGTGAGCAGGCCCACGAAACAGCTGTCAGTCTGTACGCAGGGCAGTGTTTGGTGGTGACTGTGTTTATGGTCTGGAGCTGCCCTGCCGTAGCAGACCTGGTAGCGTACTGGGGAACATGGGCTGATACCCATAGGGCAATACATCTCGTGCGGGAACGCTGTGTGCTCATTCCTCCCATCTCTGAGACAAGCTCCCTCCGCCCAGGTCTGCAGAATGATCACAAGGCCGTGATGAGGGAGGTGGAAGAAGCGCTCCACCAGCTGCATGCACGGGAGAAGGAGAAGCGTGCCAGGGACGAGGCAGAGGCACAAGCCGAGGCAGTGAGTCAGAACCAGAGCCCGTCTCAGCCCTTCGCCAGAGTGAACGCTGTCACACCGGGATCTCCTGCCAGCCTCGCGGCAAGTCCAGTGTTCTTCCTGCCCGGGGAGCAAACACCCGTGGACCCTGTTCTGCCCCAGAGATGGCAGGTGGTCCTCGCCACCCACCTGCAGTCAGGGCCAGGGTTTGAGCTACTGTTCTTTGTCCTACTTCTCGTTAGGTGCTTGGTACCTTTCCCCAGGGGCATAATGTTTCATGTCAGCCTTTGCAGAGTGAAATAACATTTATAGCACCTTGCAGGGGGGAGCATCCAGTGAGGGAAGTGCACATGGGGCTGGCATCAGAAGACCTGTACTGCTCCCAGCTGCACCACTGACATGCTAATGGCTTTGGATAAGGCTGTATGCCTTAGATTCCTTATCTCCGTGACGAGGATAAAAAAAATAATACTGCCTTACCTCGCTGTGGGTTTGCGTGGCTCGCATGTTGAGAAGTGTCTTAAGATCCTTGAAGGGAGCGCTGACTAGTGCTTTGGGTGAGAGACGCGCCACAAACCCTAAGCACCGTGTGTCCTTTGAGGAGGAAGATTCTTAGTCTCCTGCTTTCTCTCTCTAAAGGGATTACAGGTCGACGATGAGATCGTTGAGTTTGGCTCTGTCAAGGCGCACAACTTCCAGACTCTGCAGAACATCGCCACCGTTGTGCAGCACAGCGAAGGGGTGAGCAGGTTACTGGCTTCTCTGGTCTGATGGGCTTTTCTCTAGTGATACTTAGCAGAGTTCAATAGTCCCACGTCTCTGCTCCAGACACTGCGTGTCAGCTTCTGGGCTTGACGGTCGGTTTCATCACATGCCACCCCCAGACCCTTCCATGTGAGAGAGCTCACACGTAACTTCTCTCTTTCTTGGACTGATGGAGCTGGCAGTAATGTGAAGGCATCAGGTGTTGCCTCTAATGGAAGCTCCCCATGCTGAACATTTGAGATGTTCTCTTTAGAGGTCTTGTTTTTTGTTTTCACTGGAGCCTGTGCTGAGTGACAGCGTGTTACTTCACTAGTATTCATGGACATGCTCTACTGAGGAAAATTCCCTGCAGTCCTACATTTTCGCCCCACCCGCCACCCCCCCCGCCGCCCCCCCCCCCCCCCCCTGTAGCTAGAGGTTCAGTGTTACACGTGCGGTAGCTCTCTGGCTCCTATGCAGCCAGGCAAACAAAAGAACTGAGCCAGCTTGATGGGAAAAGGTGCCATTCGTCTGTTTGTTCGTTTCAGAAACCGCTGAGCGTGAGCGTGATCCGTGGAGGCGAGAAAGTCCACCTTGGGCTTACACCAAAGCACTGGGCAGGGAAAGGCCTCCTGGGGTAAGCTTCCCAGTACTTTCTGCAGCTTTGTCCATCTGCACTCATATGCCGTTGGCCCGCCTTACACTGGAGAATCCCACTGGGAATCTGAATGGAGCCTGGACCTGCCTGCAAGCACTCCGGTCTTCCTGCTCTGTCCCAGATCACTGTTCCCTGGGAATCCCCTTTGTGCTTCTCAGCTTGATGCTTAAAGCTAAGGGGACAGACTCCATGTGTTGCCCTTGGTTTGGCTTGATTTGGCTCCAGAATCTCATATGTGCCTTTACAGTTGAAAGTCAGATCAATTCCTGCCCTTTCTGAGTGCCGCCTTGCTCATTCGCAAGGGGGAATCTTATGATCTGTCTAGCTGGTTCTGTCACTGAGGTTGTGCAATTGCAGGTGCATCCAAATACAACACACATGTGCCCAGCCACTTGATGGGGGGGCGGGGGGGGAATCATCACACTATGTAGAATGACCCAAACTATGTTGTCATACTACTGGATCCTGTAACAGCTCTGGGTCTAATTCTTTTGCTGCAGGAACTGTTTATCACTCGTACCACGTGTATGTGCGGAGGGAAATAGGGCCTTTGATCTTTTTCAGGGTGTAGCATGTTTCTTTCAACATGGTTATAACCAGGCTTCCCACTCCATGCAGGAAAAGTCAGATAGGCATGCAGCTATAGGGTATCTGTTCTGTGGAGCATAAAATGGTTGGAATTATAGTCTAGCCAGGATCCTCCCTCTTCACAATATGGTATGCTTCTCCACTTATCAGTGTGGATGGACATTTGCACAGGATGCATTTCCTGCAGTGATGCAGGAAGCCTAACTTATTTCTTCTTTTTTTTTCCAGCTGCAATATTGTCCCATTGCAAAGATGACTGCAGCTTGGAAGACAGTAACCCTGAAGTTGCTTCTGCTTTGTAAACTCTGATCTGGTTTGAAGAGTTCCCTTATGACGTGCATCATCTTGCTAAATCTAGAATGTTTGTGGTGGGCTTGGGGGGCTTTGACTTCAAGTAATCAGATATACTGAACCTAAATGGGTTTCAGCACACCTGTGCACAGGCCAGGCTAAGAAATTGTACCAACTCATCGGGGATAGTTCATAGAATTAAAGGATTTCACTGATGCTCATGTAAATTCAGTGTGAGCTCAGATGCAGTCCAGGCTTCTCTTCAGTTAAACTTCCACAAATAATTCCATGACCTTTATTGAGTATTGTCTTCTGTGTGATCACAAGAAAGAGTTTTTGACAATAAAGATTTAAGCACTTTTTGTGATAATATATTCATTTTCAGTTCTTTCATACTCCTTCCTGGACAGGTGGTACTTTTGCCAAATATGCGGCAATGTTACAAGAATCTCCTGGTAGTGTTATCTACTATGTATTACAGCAAATTACCAAAACAGCCTCAAGAAATATAACATGTAAAAGATTCAAACTATATGTGTACAAGTCATGTTTGAGGTCACTACATTGGAAAGAATTTTGAAAAATACCCAAGTGTTTATTCGGTTTTAAGTGAGTGAGTGGGGTAAGGAAGGTTGTTGGTGGTGTGCTTTTGTGTCAATATATATTTTTCATGGCTTGGGCTATGAAAATTATAGCCTCATTTTCTATTCCACAATTTTTCAACTTGTAAACACTTTCAGGGGTTTTTTTTATTGGCTTTGGTTTGTTTTAAACTTGTTTCCATTTGAATTTTTAAACATGAATAGAATTTTTTACCTGATTTCATTACAACTGTCATACTTTTTGGAAAAAAGTTATTTTCATAAATGCTCAAGTTTGTTTGTTTTTATTATTATTTTTGTTACTTTTTAATTGTTGTTGTTGTTTTTGTAATGGTGGGGAGGGGCAGGTGTACAAAGACAGTCCCTCTAAAGAACCAGCTTGGTTTTAGTATTGAAAGATCAGGCTTTTTGTTCAGGGTCCATAGACTGTAAAAGTTTAATAAATGATTTATGTTATAACCCCACACAACATACTATTACCATGTGTTTTACATGGTTCGAAACGCCTCCATGGAAGATTTTATAAGCCAGGGCACTTGGCAACTTCTTGATCTGTTTAAACTCTGAAACAAAAACACTGATAAATGTATCAGATTAATAAATACTTATGAATCCTTTGTAAATGGGATCTTCATTGAAGTGTGACTTTCTGGCTTTTATTCAGGAAATATTTGTATTACCGCTGTGTAAACCAGTTTGTGTGTTGTGTGTTCAAGAAAGGTTGATTGCTTTATGGTGCTACTTCTAAGAAGTAAAGAGAGGTTTTGGAGGCAGTTGCCTGATATGGATATACTGACACCTAATCTTATACTGGTATACACCCCACCTAGCTCTCTTGCCTTCTTCTGGGGTGCTCTGAAGTTGCTAAGGTCTGGCGTGATTAGGCTTGACCTCTTTTCTTGGAAAATTAATGTGAAAATGAGGTTTTCAAGTTCAACCCGTGGTGCATGAATACTCTGTTTGTCAATATTTGATGGCAGGAAGCGACATGCTCATGCTGTGGGAAGTGCTGAGCTGTAACCCCTGCCAGGACTGATCCCATAGCTTTGACCAGTTAAAGGGGTCCCTTTGTTAAAATGTATTGCTGAATCTCCTTGCCAGGGAAAAGGAACACAGTGAAGTCTTTCCTGGTCACGCATAATGTAGTAGAGAAGAGCTGAAACCAGCACTAGCTGTCCAAAGACTTTTGGAGGGGGGAATAAAACAGATAAATGAGCAAACACAAGTACAGGGGCTTAATGTTGAGAAGAGGATTCTTCTTCTGTACCTGCAATTTTACAGGTGCCGGTGATGTTGGATATACACCTGTCTGATACAAACCAACAGGAGTTACAGCACAGCAGGGATAAAATCCCATGCCACTTGCAACATAAGCGTCCGTGTATTGGTGGATTTGTCATTAGAAGTATGTTTCCCCTTCCTACCTTTCCCTTCAGCGTTTCCCTGGGTTGTTGCTAAAGTATGGTCCAGCTGGAGGGAAAAACACCATATTTCAGATGGGCAAAGGGCTGCTCGCTGCCCTGTAGGGCTTCACACTAATCCATTTGTGCCATTTGGGAACTACAGAGAGAACGGAGGCCCATGGCAAATCCCTGCTGAGGGATTGCCCCGCATGTGAGAGCTGCCAGCACCTCTGAGTCCTGCACCACCCTCCTGCTCTCCTCCCTGGAGCTTGGAGCCCCGCTCGCCAAAGGCCCTCGCTTGCCGGTTTCCCCTTCCCCCTGCAAGGCTGGGGAAAGGAGAGCAGGGGGGAAGGTGCCACCTTCTTGCCAGGGCCTGTGACTTTTATCTTGAGCCTCAAACCAGCGGATCTTTTTCGGAAGCCTGTGGTGACCGGAGGGAATGAAAGGGGGCGACGGGGGGCACAGGAACTTGTGGTGAAGGCTTAAACAACGCACGGATGCTGCAGGCCACGTTGGAGGCAGGGCTGCCACCCCCAGTGCTGCTCTTGTGACGAGTTGTGTCCTGCCAGTCACAAGGGTGGGTGGACAGGGAGGCCCCTGGTGTCACGTGGGGCTCGCAAAGTGGGTGCCTCTGAGCCTGAAGGGCAAGGGGGCTGAGCCGGGAGGGTTTGAACCGTGCACGTGGGAGCGAGGCCCCCCCGGCCTGTGGTGCTTGAATAACCCTCTTCCCCTCCATGCAGCGGCTTCGCCTGCAGCAGCTCCGTATTTCCGGCCTGCCGGCAGCGGTTACCATGGGAACGGGCATCACTACAAACAGAACCGGGGCTGAGCTGCGGCGGGTGAGTCGGGGAAGGGGCTGGGGGCAGCTGGGCTGGGGTCCCATGGAGAGGCCGGGTGGTGGCTAGACCCTAAGGAAGTCAGGTGTGCGGGAGCCTGGCAGCGTGTGGGCTGGTTTGGGGAGCTGGAGAGGAGGCTGCAGGGGCTGGGCAGGACCGTGGAGGGGTCTGCACAAGGCTACAGGATCTGCGGGGCTGCTGCGGGAACGTCCCCTGGGGGCCAGGCAGAGCTGGCCAGGAGAGGGGCAGCGGAGGGGTTTCAGAGCCGGGCGTCCTAGCTCGGTCCCTGTCTTGCAGCTGGGTGGTCAGGCAACCGCCGGACCTGGCTTCTGGCGCAGGGAAGTCACTAAGGAGTTAAACCCTGCTCCGTCGTGGGCCTCCCTCAAGATGACTGTGGCTTGGCCGGTGCAGAAAAATGTGCTGAGCTGGAGGAAAGCATGCCGAGTGGTGGGGGTGAAAGCAAAATGTGTTGCCCATGTGTGTGTGTGTATGTGCCGGGTGCGTGCACGGCATACGCTCCGCTCTTGGCACCTTCCCCCACTGATCCGGACCTGCACGTCCCTCCTGTGGCTCTGCCTATAGGACCGATGCTGTGTCCATCAGACTGCACTAAGTGACACAGGCTCAGAAATGCCTCCCAGGGGAAGAGGCCTCCGAGCCCTGTCACCGCTGGAAGGGTTTTATGTTGGAGTGGGCCCAAACTAGGCCCCTCCGTTCCCATGTTGAGCCAGGCTTCTTGGCTCGGATTGAAAGGGCTGGACACAAACAGGCTTTAAGACCTGGGTTCCAGTTGCTCGCCACATAACATCCATTTAGGAAATGTGCCAGGGAGGAACAGTTAAGTGCTGAGAACTGAGAAGCTGTGCTGGGCTTTTAACCCACTGATGTGTGTTTTGGAAGGATGTGTGTAGGAGAGGATGGATGATGATCCTGGTGAAACCCTGTTGAAGGGATCAGCAAGAGGAGGCACTGAAAATGGTGCAGATCCACCAGGAGCTCTGCAGGAAGAAGAAGCGTCTCAGGAGACCGAGTCACCGAAGCAGGTCACAGAAACCTCCCTTGAGAGGACGCAAGGTGACCTGGGGCCTATGGATGTGGTGCAAGCAGACTGTGCTGCTCCCGAGGCACCGCCTGAAGAGAGCGAGCTGCGCACCACGATTTCACATGTGAGTATGAATGTAGCAGGCATCCACAGCAAGGTCCCTGCATCTGGTGCATGGGATGTCACAGAAAAGGGTACAGGAGGCCTGAAATGGGCTCGTCGCCGATGGTGTGACCTAGCACTCAAAGCAGCTTTAATAACCAGTAGGACTGCAGTGTACAAACGAGTGACAGTCCACGGCATGATAGTTGGCTGAGGAGCTGGGGTGGTAGAGGGGACGATGTGGCATGGATGAGATGATTTTGCAAAGCATGTATTGAAGCCTGTGTTCATTTGAAAGGATGCCGTAGCTGACGTCCTGGAGACGCCATCCAACGAACAAGAAGAAGCCACAGAAATACTGGAGGATGCGGATCACGGTGAACAGCTTCCCCCAGCAGAGGCTCAGCCTGAGAGCATGGCTCCCACTGTGCTGTCGAGCCCTGTCAGCAGGGAGCAGGTGTGTGACGCTGCTGAGCTCCCATCCGAGGGGAGAGCAGAAGAACCTGCAGAAACGACGGGGACATCGGAGGGTACGGGACCAGACGAAGAGCTGACTCCTGCGGAGCCTCCACCAGGGAGCGAGAGGCTGACACCTCCACGCCCCACCAGCAGCGATCAGGAAATGCAGCAGCTGGGTCAGGAAGCCCAAGAAAGTCACCAGAAAGGTCTGGGAGGCGAAGACCAGGGGAGCTCAGTGGAGCAGGAATCCCGGAGCAGTGAAGGAGGTGCTGTCATGGGCCAGGAAGAGGAGAGGGCGTCAGCGGTGTCCTCAGCCACTCCAGGCTTGTTGTTTGAAGAGCAGAAGCATGAGAAAACACATCCGCTTGTGAGTATTACACACACAGTCCAGAGCCCTGCCAACCTCAGTAGGAACACCAAGCCTGGGGATATCTCAGAGACTTCCCCTATGAAATCAGTTTTTAGCTTCCAGAGGGAAACGGCTTTGATTATCAGACTTATTTTTTCAACTGAAAGTCAGGATGCCTCTGTTAGGGGCTGAAATCCAGGTCTGAATGTTCTGCCAAAGCAGCTTGAATGGGTCAGGGGGCAGTTTGCTGTGGGAAGGGTTTTGCTCTGGCATGGCACCATGGGCTCCTACCCTTCACTGTAGGGGTAGCTGCATTTCGGAGGGCAGGGAGGCCACTACAAGTGAAGTGCAGCGAGCTCCTTCCAGGTGAAAGGTGCCATCGAAGTGGAGGAGACCGCGCTTCAGAAATGTTCTCGTGCTGCCTGGCATAAATGAGCACAACCATGTTTTTCTTACAGAGCTTGTCTTGGGCCTTTGGTTACAACAGCAAACTCCCTGTTTACAGCCTGCTCGATGAGGAGAACAGGGTGATCCTGTACGCTTCCGCTCACACTGCTGTGATCCATGATGTTTTCAGGAATAGGCAATATCACCTGCAGGTACAGAACGCCTTTCCTTCCCCACCCTGTCCTACAAGGGCAGGCCCCAACCCCACAGAATGATCTGCAAGTACTGAATCCAGCAAGGGAAATGGAAGACTCCTGTACATTTTATGTCTATGAAATCTAGCCGGTGCCAGCTGCATTTTTATTCCTCTGCCAGTCAGAAGAGCATTCATGAGTCCTGCTTATAATCAGCTATCTCGCTGTACTGTGGTGTTATGGTCTCATCTCATTCTTATTTACAGGGGAATATTTACAGCCTGCTTGTCTTCGTGGGTATGGAGCCCCCTGCATGTTTTGGGCAGTTCTTTATGAATACCGTATTTTCTGCCATATCACATGCCCAAATAGAACACGTACCTTTATTTTTTGGAGGCTCTAAACCCCACTTACTATCCCGTTGCAATGTGCAGTTAGGGAAGGAGCTTCCCATGGGGTCTGGAAATTTGGCAGGGGCATGGGGAAGGGAGGGAGTGGTGGCAGCATTGATGGCTATGCTTCCCCCCTCCCCCCCCAAAAAACACAAACCCAAAAAACCAAAACAAAACAACAACAATTTCTTGACCTATAGGGGAGCCCTTTCTGTTGTGCATAATGTGCACCCAATTTCCCTCAGCTAGTTCTGGCAGGAAAAGTTGTAAGTTATGTGATAAATGCAGCGTTGTTAACAGTGCTCTCGCTTAATGCTGATCTCTGAAACGGATCTACATTACATGGCAGCCTTGTTAAAGATGCTGTTTTGTTATTTGTTATGAGCATTATGCAGTCGATGGCCTCCATGCTTCAGGCACAACATGGTCAAGACAGGAGTGAGGGGTTTATTGAAGGGGTAAAGAAAGGGGGGGGTGCTGGTGAAGGTGAGCATGAAGGAGTGAGACGCAGGGCCTGGAGGCCTCTTCAGGTGCAGGGGAAAGCATGTGAGGCTTAATTAAACCTTCTCCTGCATCTTTCATGGCAGATTTCTCCTTCTCACTCTGCAGGGTCACTCAAATTCTATTTCTTGTCTGTGTGTGAGTGTAGACAAGCGGTGGATTGTGACAGCCGACCAAGGACCTGATAACCTGGTTATTGTGTGGGACGCTTTCTCTGGGTAAGATCAAGCCCCTGTTTGTAAACCTTTCAATTAGCAATTCCAGCTTCTGGTTTGAACTGAAATAACAGCATGGGCCAAGCGAGCAAGCAAGGAAAATGGACAAGGCCACAAAGGAGCTGATGATGGAGTAAAGGCTTCAGTGTAAAAGTGCCTCCGTGCTGATGATCCTTGGGATAGGTCAGAACCCCTTCGTTAAGCCTAAGATTTGCAAGCATCCTTGCCCAAGGTCAAGCTCCTAGTCCTTGGAATTGCGGAGGACTATTTTTCCCTGCTTGAATGGCCGCATGTGCACAGGAGTCTGTCTCCTGCTGATGTTGGGGAGGGTTGTTGGGATCCTATTTGAATTAGTTTATGACAATTCAGGGTTGTTTGGGTATAATTTTTTTCATTCTGATGAAAAAGGGCTCCCAAAATGGCAGGCTGTGGAATTTGCCTGGAGGGGGAAAAAAAGAAAGCAGAAATAATATTGCAAGCCGGTGTCACTGTACTTAGCCTACGTGCATGCTTTGCTTTGCAGGATTCCTGTGCACACTATATTCGGCCATCCAGGAGATGGGGTCAGTGCTATTGCTATTTCCCATGATGCTAAGTATTTGGCAACCATCGGTGCTGGCAAAATACAGGTAAAGGAAAGGTTTTCCCTGCTGTGTCCTGCAGTGACTAAAGCCAGTGAACTGGCACTCGTGTAACTAAGAGGGGGATGTGAACCGGAGATCAGCAGAACCAGGGTGGGCTCAGTTTTGCAAAACCACCTCTGCAGATTTGATTTTTGTAAGTAGTGCATGCTGAGCTACCGTTTCCATGAGTGCTGCCGAGTTCAGATGCAAGCTTAAGCCACAAATGGAGATGCTGTCTTTGATGCCTCTCTAACTGAATAACTCGAGTACAGCAGGAAACCCGGTTACTTTACGCTGCAGGCAGGAGAACGGCAGGGATTTCTTTGTTGTTTTCTGTCTACATTGCTATTCTGTTTTAAGATCTGAGCAAAGAGGTAATGGGAGCTCAGCTGGAAAGGGAGTTCACCTTAAAGACAGTCTTGCTATACAATATACATCTCACTTGGAAGCCAGGGGCTATGCCAGGAATTAGGCTAGCGGGAGACTGAACTCAGTGTTGATGATGTCTCTTCCTCCTTTTTCATCGTTAGAGATCAGGATGAGACTATCAGGCTCCTTTTCACCTGAGTCCTGAAACCACAGCCAGTATCATAATTGCCCACAAGATCCTGCATCCTCAGGCCAATCTACAGTGGTCCAAGAGTTAGTGGTTTGTACAGAGGGAGCAACAGCAAAAGCAGTTTATAACGTGCGTGTGAGGAGCAGAGACCCACCTCTCTCGCTTTGCAGTTCCAGACAGTGTGTGAGCAAAGGCTTGACAATGCCGGATGTTGGCTCGTGACGTGGCCTACCCTGGGTGTGGAGCACGGCCACTTAGCGCAAACTTTTTGCTTGCCAGCGAGGCCAGGTTGGACTCTGTTTTTTTGGTTTCCCCCATGACACCCCACAGCAGGAGCTGCTGCACTGTGTATGAGCAGGATTTGGCCTCCTGAGTTGAGTAGGTTGTAGAAAGGCACCTTGGTGTAACCCTGCTCTCCCCTTTGTGTCAGAGAGTGTGCATTTGGAAGTGGACTTCGTCTGAAGAGAAACCCCAGTGTAGCATAGAGCTGGAGCCCAGATTTGGGTACCAGGTGAGTGATCTGGTTGTTAAAGGGGGCTGGCATTGTGGGAGCCATTGTAAAGTCCAGAGGATCTGGTCTCAGTTACTCCAGTCCTGCACTTGGGGCTGGGGCAGGGTAGATGGGGCCCAAGCTGGCTTTGTGTTCTGGGGCTGTGCAGGGCCATGCTCAGCCAGGGAGACAGCCTCATGGCTGCTGTAATTTCCACTCTGCTTCCAGTGATTCTGGGAGGACATGAGAAACAATGACTAGCCATAAAGCAGTACGCTCTAACCATGTCTGTGACTGCTGCCGCTGGGGTGACCTCTGGAACAGGTCCATTTTTCATAGGTTTCTACGCAGGGGCCTGGTTCTGTCCACTTGACATTCAGAGAGGCAAAGGAGAACCACAGTGGAACCGGGGGTCATGCCCCAGGTGGTGAATTCAGTGATGAGGGACATTTCAAATGGGAGCAGATCATAGTTGAAGCGTAGCAAGCTTCCCTGCCAGTGAGTTGGAGTGCTGATTTATATTAACACCATGGCCAACATGGATTTTGACATGATTTTACCCTTTTACTTTCAGAACTACATTACTTTCAATCCAAAAGATCATGGAGAGTTTGTCAGTAACAGTAAAACTCAAGTGATATTTTACCTGTGGGTAAGTGGGAATGGTGGGGAATGATGGTCTCTAGACCTTGTGACACAAGAACAGGTGGATCCTGCCAGGGAAAAGTCAGCCCAGCACTTCATCCACAGACCTTGGACCTCAGTGTGCACTGAGCATGCGGCGGTCCTGGGCGGGAAGGCATATGGGAACGCTGTCTTCTCGGGAGGCAGTATGGTGTATGGAAAGGACACCTGCCTGGCTGCAGGATTCCTGCCTGCTCTTCCTGGTTCTGCCACTGACCTGTTGTGTGACCTTGGACAAGTCACTTCTCTTCTTCCTTCTTATATTTGTCTTGCCTGCTCCTCAGGGCAAAGGATGCTGCTCCCAATCTGCTTGCAGAGTGCCCAGCTCAAAAGGCCCCTCACCTGGGTTGGGCCTCTGAAGGCTGCTGTCATATAATAATAATAATCAACCTGATGCAAAGTTGGTGCCCAGATAACACACACAGCAATGGGCGTGTTCAGTAGAGCCTCTCTTTTGATTGAAGTCTGTTTTGAAAATGCTTGTCTCTGAGTAACCTGCTCTCTGCGTGTCTCCTCAGGACAGTGATGGGTTGCGGTACAGTGCCCCTCTTCTAACTGACAGAGTGAGTATTGTAGATGAGCAGCAAGGTTTCCCCTGCTTTGCTTTTCTTCTGGCTGTGATGCCTGTCTGCCTCCTTCAGCAAGCACAAGGTCTTGTTTGGAGTGATCTCGCTAAGTCCCAGTGCATTACGGTGTGTCCCTGGGTCTCTAGCTTGGAGGACGTGCTGGCTCGTGGAGGGGATAATCCGTGGTGGGAGATGAGCTCAGGGTGGGACTCCAGAAGTCCTGGTATACTTGTGGCTGAGACCCACTTCCTTTGGCCTGCATGATAGACCTTCTTGTGCTGGTGGAGTGTCCCTGCCTTGGGACTAGACCTCCACAGTTCCCAGCTCCCACTCTTGTCTTCCCATCACACTGCCTCACCTAGGCAGGGAACTAGAAAACCCAGTAACAGCTCCCCACTCAGCCAGCTGGTCAAACACTTCTCTAATGGGACCATCTGCCACTTTGCACTCCTCTTTGTGGAAGACCAATACAATTCCCCTCGCCGGGGTAGAATTTTACCCCCTGGGGGCGGTAGCAGCAGCAGAGTGCAGGGGCCGAGTCCTTCAGCAGACACAAACAAGGCATTTTGTTTCCTATGAGGCTGTTTCAGAGGGGTTTTTTCCCCTCCCGTTTTATAGTTGCTTAATAGATGACCTCTCTGGAGGAGAGGGTCTGCATACACTTTGCAGAGAACATCATGGTTGGTGTGGGGGGGTCTCTGCTTCTTTTGCAGACGTTCAACAAGGTGGTAGGACTCTTCAGTCAGTCCATTTTCCACTTTAAGAACTTGCAAGCTCTGACGGGCACTTCAGGTGGGAAGCTGGTGGTGTGGGATGCAGTCTGCCCGCCGTCCGGGCCTGCTGACTTGTCCGTCAAGCCATATAATATGAAGGCTATTAAACTGATGCACCTGCAGAAAGATGCCCTCACTGTGCTTACAGTATCTGACAGGTAACAGATTACATCCTTCCTGGTTCACCATCTTGCATTTTGCAAACCGAGCTATATAAAAGCTCGGTGTATGTGGCTGGCATGCAAAATCTGTGTGTGTGTGTGTGTGTGTTGCTTTCCACCTGGCATGTACACCGTTCCACATGTGTGTACATGAAGCTAAACTCCTTGGGCAATGGATGGGAATGAAAGCAGGACTTTCATGGACCTGCTGGAGGCTTGTTGCATGGCCACTTGCACCTGTGAAGAGCACGTGCTAAGCTCCGATGTGATTGTTCTCTGCAGGTTATTGTGTGCTGTGACTCGGTGGTGGTGAGTTTTGTGGCTCACCTCAAACAAGTGAGGGTGACGTACTCGGTTTTGTGACATACTCTATTTTGCTCACACACATTGTAAAGTTGTTTCTGTTAGGATTGCTTTCAGTGTCAAGGCGGGTTTCTCAATAGCCCTTTGTGCAGCGGCCTTGCTCTGCTCCCGACAGGGTTTTGTTCTATTGGAGCCAAGTGAGGCTGACACAGAGCACTCTTGAAAATCCCACTGAAAATGCTCCTCTGAGTACTGTTCTTCATAGCCACTCATGTGCAGAGCTAATGGGCCTTTGTATTATTGTGCTCAGTTCAGGACTGGGAGCACCAGAAAACTTGTTGCTCACAACTGAACTATCTTTTCTGAACATCCCAATGTTGCACTTTTAAGGAACTTGGCAACCTGCTGGGGTTACATAAAAAGGGTCAAATTCCTGCAGGAAAACTCCATGGATGTCAGAGGACTTGGGCTGTTTCGCCAGCAGGGAGTGTGGTGGGAATGTAGAGAACCACGATCCCCAGTGGGATAAAGCAGACCTTTGTAATCCCTGCAGGCAGGGAGTATTGGGCCTTACCACCTTAGCAAAGCAACGGGGAAACTGAGTTCATTCAGAGGGGAAAGGACAGTGCCATGTCTTGCTTAACCAATGCTGTCTGCATTTGTGAAACTCCCCAGTCCTGTGCCCCACATGCAAGCACCAGGGCTGTCTACTATCCAAGTAGGATCAGAGCAAATGGGTTTTTGGCTGTCGGGTTAATTCCCTACCTTAACCAGTAGAGGGAACCAATACACACACAACATCCATGATCTGAACGATTCCACGGAGTAGCAGGTCGCAGCACAGTGTAAGCCAGTATATCCCAGCCCCTCGGTGCGGGGCATTACTCTGCTTTCCATACAACTGCACACTTTCAAAATACTGTCCAAGCATTAACTGCCCTTCACAGTGCCCCTGGGAAAGGGAGCGAGTGAAGTGCCATGACACTCACGTTACAGATGAGGGGAGCAAGGCGTGGAATGCTTAAGTGACTTGCCCAGGGTTGCGCAGTGAGTCGGTGGCAGGCTCAGGAGCAGGACTTGGGAACTCTTGTTTCCTCGTGCAAGCTTAATCCTCTAGATAATGTCGTCTCCTGGGGAGCTAAGCATGTGTTTAGCTTGTGCGCAGCAACTAGAGCATCTTTAGATGCTAATTCAGTGTTCTGAGGCCTTGTCCAGAGGTTTAAGTAATAGTTTGGAGATCAAGACTCCTGGCTTCTGTGCATTTGTGGATGCAGGATTTGTAGATGCCAGGGAGGAAGAGGGGATATAAATCATTCTAGATATACCCTGTTCACATGCTCTGTCTTTAACGCATCTACTTCTGCCACTGCTGGAGACACGATACCAGGTTAGATGGACCATTGGTCTGGCCCAATAGGCCACTTTTTATGTTCTTGCTAATGCACTGCATTATTCCCACTTCTTGGAGCTTCAGTTTTCTCCTGTGTGATGTGGACCTGACATTGCTTATCCAGCAGCAGGGCTTACGAGAAAAGGTCTGATTCTGAACACTAGGTTTCCATTAAAGTCTTTCTGTTGTCTTCAGTGGGGATAGCCCTGATTTACATTGGGGGAAAGTGAGAGCGGGATCAGGTTGTGAGTCCTGAAGCCTGCTCCCTCGTAATATGCCCTAGGACCACAAAACATTAGCTTGCCTAATACGCTTTCCTTAACAGACCTGTGTTCTTCCTTTCAGCTATTTTGTAATGTGTGATGTCAAAGGTCACATCAAATTCTACGACGGCCAGCTGCAGCTTGTGAACTGGTACAGCCACTTCAACCTGGGGCCCATCCACTCCATTTCCTTTTCCAAAAGCCCTCCCAATCCCGGTAGCTGCCGCTCAAACTACTCCAGTTCTTGCACCATAGGTGGCCAGCCCTTTATTGTCAGGTGAGTGTCCTCCTGAGACTGAGCTAACCCACTGCCCGGCGCAGAACTGTTGAAATGAGTTAGTGGCTGACAGGCTCTCCCTGCTGTGTTTCTGCCTGGAAGTTGAGCCCAGAGACTTGGGTGTGAAGCTGCGGCTGTTGAGCCTCGTGTCTGCTGCAGCTTCTTGGCCCTGGCGGCCCCTTTGGGAAACATGCAAGGGTGGCAAAGCACAGGGAAGCCTCACACTGGCTCCTGCTGCCAGATTCCCAGTAGCAGTGGAGATCTCGGCTGGGGACAGTGGTTCTGCCTAGCCAGGAACTGCGGCATCTGCTTTGGTCAGGCAGGTTATGGCTTCTCCCTCCCTCCTCCCTGGCTTTCTGTGCCAAATGCAGGAAACCAATCTCTCCTGCAGAACAGGTGGCTGGAAGGGCCTCCAGCCCCACCATGTCACAGCAGGCAGCATCTGGTACTTGCTTACAAAAGAGAGGGAGAGCGAGGAGCTTTGGGCTGAGCACAGGACTGAGAGCAAGGAGCCCCCCGGTTCTGCTGCCAGTGCTTCTCTGACAGCCATGGTGGCTTTGGGTGTGAGCTAGCAGGTGACCACGCCAGGAGTCGCACTTGTGTTGGCCACTAACTGGGGTGGGGGCTGGGACTCAGTACTACTCGGACTGTGCGTAGTAGCAGTACTGAGACCTGAGTAAAGATCTCAGAATTTGTCCCTCTAATTGAAACCAGCCCCTCCCTTGCAGGCCAGCTGATGACCTCTGCCCCATAACAGTTTGGTGACATACCCGTCCCATAGTCTGGTTTGTGTGCCATTCACCTGGTACACAGGGAAACTGCGTTATAGACGCTGCTGAGTGAATGGATGAGCAGCCATTCTTGTGCAGGGCGAGACTAGCTGTTCACCCAGTTATCAGCAAGGAAGAAGCTCTCTTTCTAGTCTGCACCTGTACAGTTTGGCAAGTGGCTTCTCTCACTTCACGCCTAACAGGAATTTTATCCTCTCCACGTTGGATGCGACTGTGCTGCATGTTACGCCGGAGGGAACCAAGCTGGAGAAATTGTTGGAGGAGGCCAAGGAAGCTGTTAATGCCATCTCTTGCCATCCTACCCAGCCGCTTCTTGCCATAGGAAGTCACTGTGGGCTGCTGAAGGTGTGGGACTACCAGCAAACCCAGTACTTCATTAGCAGAATATTTACTGGGGCCAGCATCCAGTGTCTGTCCTATGACCCAGAAGGTATTTTTATCTTGATGTCTTGCTACACGTTAAGCCTCAGGCTTCCTGTGATGACTGAACCACGGAGTAATGATCCTCTGGTGCATGTTTTAGGTTCTTCCCTGGCGGCTGGTTTTACTGATGGAAGCCTTCGCATCCTTGATAGTATTTCTCTGGACGATGACTGTAAAGAGTTCAAGTACTCGAGAGGCTCGCTGACTCATCTTTGCTTCTCCCATGACTCCCAGTATCTTGCAACTGCTGTAAGTTTCTCTCTTGATGTATGGCTCTTCTCCTTGTAACGTCCTCTGGTGGGACTGGAGCTTTCAGACCATCCTGTAATGTAATTCTGAGAGGACAGCTGGGCCAGGGGCTCACAAGCAGGTTAAACAGACACTTGGCTAAGATGATTTAATCAGGAAAGATCTTGTCTTGGCAGGGGTCTGGACTAGATGACCTTGAGAGATCCCTTCCACCCCTACTTTCCTGTGATCCTATGCCTTTGGAATGGTCTCCTTCTCTTAGAGCTGTTTTGCTCAGAGGACCAGCTATGTTCAAATGGCATCACCCTCCTTAAGAGACCTGCACCCTGTATCTGGTCAGAGCCTTATCTCCTGACTCCAGCAACAAAAGCACATTTTGACTATTGTCCACTCCTGTGATCCCTGCAGAACTGGCTTTGGGAGAGTGAGGCGTCTGTTCTGGCTTTAATCACGATCAGGTGAATTAACCTGGTTCCTCATGTCAGTGTAATGGAGGGCAGTGTTTAAAGGCTCCAGGGCTGCTTTGGGCTTGTAGAATCATAATTATTGATAACAATCCATGAGTAAGAAAGACCCTACACACACGGTCACTGGGAGCTCAGATCCACGGGGGGCTGGAAGTCCTGAAAAACATGGTTTTGGCTTTCATTTTATAACTGCAAGTTGATCGCATTTGCTCTAGAGTCATTGAGGCAAGGTGAGTCTCCAAGGTTCAGTGTTAGCAGTCCCTCTGCACAGCAGAAGCCTGTATTTATATATCCCAGACTGGTCGGTGGCTTTGCTCAGAGCAAGGCTGAACTTCAGGTTTGTTACTCATTAATCACGGCATGTGCGAGTCCTGTTCAGATTCTTTCTGCTTGATCACATGTTTTATCATGATTGCCATTCTGCTCCTTTCCTTTTCTTTGTGGCTATCTTGGCATGCAGCTAAAAAGGCAGCAAGGTTGGTGTGATGAGCAGACAGCCAGGCACGCGACACTGAGATGCTTTTGTTGTTGTTACAGGATGAAAAATTCTCAGTGACCATTTACAAAGTAACCCTGAGAAATGGCAGGAGGTCCTGGGAACATCTTGCAGGGCTTCACGCACACTACAAGCCAATTCGAAGTGTAATATTTGGTGTCCAGTTGGACAGCAGTGAACCCAGGCTCTTAAGCCTTGGGGAGGACAGACTGTTGGTAAGACATTAACCTGAAAGACAGCAGAGTGTACTGATTAGTGCAGAGGCTGTGGAGGAAGGACTCCTGGATCACATTTCCAACCTGGACACAACATTTGATCTCGGGCAGGTGACATTATCCCCTCTGTGTCTTTGGTTACCCAGTGCTGAGGGGGCCTCAGAAATGCTTCTCCATCTCACATTTGGGAGCTGCTCCACCACTCTTGTTGGCCATGAATGGATCTGTCCCTTTGCATGTCTGGAGGTCACAGCTTGGCGCTTGACTTTGCATCCTGCACTAATTTTTTTTGGCTGGGCAGAGCCTCCCTTTGACAGTTGGGACACTTTCCAAGGCCTGCCCGTTTGCTCAGAGTCTAACCCTGTCCCTGTGCTCCGTACTAGTCTTCCTTGGAGAAGTGATGTTACACTGGGCTCAGAAATATCTCCTCCCTGCCACGGTAGAGCAGCAGCAAAGGGTGTAACAGATCCAATCTGCTGCTCCTCCATGCTTCACAGGAGACTGTTACCAGTAGGTGCGTGTTGCAGTGGATGCAGCAGCCCAGCCCCCCAAAGCCTAGTGCATAGGAACACCGGAGGGGTCCCTGTGGTGTGAAGAGTCCCACACCCCGACATAGGCTTCCAGATCTTTCCCACTTGCCCTTGCAGTACAGGCCCCCCTTTCCACTGCAGGGGATTTCTTCCTCCAGATCTGGCCTGTCGAGGTGACCAACTCAAGGATTCAGCATGTTGGGGTGTGCATGGTGGGAGCTGAGTCTTGTGGGGATCCTGGGTGGGCATTGTATTAGCTTAGAGAGTTTGAATCCATATGATGTGTAATAATTATGAAGGTGCAGGTGGGGGTTGCATCACAGCAGATTGCAGGGCTGCTGCAAGGGTTAAAGCAGAATGTGCTGGAGAGGCAGAAACAGCTGAATGCGAACAGGCCTGGGCTGCCCTCTCACAGATGCTGTCATGTGTTGTCTCCCCATCAGGTGGAATATGATCTGGGCAGCAGCAGCAAAGATCAGCTGGTGATCCTGCGAAGGGACCACATCGAGCAGTGCGCCATCCCCTTGTCTTTGGCCTGGTACCCGCCCTTCACGACAGAATCCTTCATCCTCACGACTAACAATCAGTACAAAATGAAGCTCTATAATGCAACGACCAAAATGTGCAGGTACCTGGGAGACCTCTGCCCTCACTGAATTTTCACGCTCAGAGGTCATTCTCTCTGCCTCCCCACTTTCTCTCCTGGGGGACACCAAGTGTGAGGGGCCTCTGCTGAAAAACTTGAGCTAAGAGCTCTGGAGTCTGTGGGGTGCATTCAAGCCACCACCAGATCACACTTTCTAGAGAGGAGGAAAACAGGGAACACCATAGCGTCTCACATGGTGTTCCCCCATAACTGTTTGTGTTATTGTGCAGCTGTGTGTCTGCCTCCAGCGTGCTTTTACTAGCAGTAGAGTCACGCCTTCAGACTCGCACGTGCAGTTCCAGACCAGCGCACAGAAGCATTCTAGAGGAAAAATGCATCACGGTCCATAGAGCAATTGAAATTTTGTATTTTGCTTTAGAAAGACACATCTGGGACCAACCTATGGTTCCCCTCTTGAGAAGATACAGATCCTTCCGGTAACAGAAAGTCAGGATCCTCAGAAGCGATACCTGGCCTATATTGCAAAAGATAAGGTACGGGTCCCTGTATGTCCGGTCAGATGTATCTGTTGGAGTCTTTAGCAGTGACATTGCATGCTGCCCCATCCTGCAGTTGCCACATCTTTTCTAACTTTCTCTCCAGGTGGGTCTGCAGATTTTGCCTGTGGATGGTAACCCGCACAAGTCCTCAGCTTTCATCTGCCACCCGGGAGGTGTCTCCAACCTTGCTAGTTCCTATGATGGATGCTATGTCTTTACAGCTGGGGGTAATGACCTCACCGTGATGAAGTGGGAAATTAATTTGAAGTAAGTAAAAGCTGAGAGAAGCAGCACGCTGTGGTGTGCACTGCACACGTCTGTGCAATCAACTCGGCTAAAGAAAACATTCTCCTGGCAGTGAATGTAAGCCTATAAAGGGATTTTCGTTCTCAAGGATCCCATTCCACCTCAGAAAAACTTCCAAGTCAGACCCTGGCTATTTGTAGTCATTCAGGGCAAGAGTGTTAATAGCGGTAGCCTGACTAATCTCCCTGTTTGTATAAGCTCTCCTTCTTGCAAGTCCTTTTATTACATAGCACTGACATTGCAGAATTGCTGCTGCATCCCACACTGCAGGTGCCTGTTTTCAAGGGACTTGGTGTAAAATGGCACAGCACTGGTTTGCGAGAAGGGTTATGGTTAAAACAGGGAGGGAAAATGTCCAGAAGTGCTCTGGACACATAACAGGGGCTTGATTTTTATTTTTGTATTATTATTTTTTTCCCCAAACATGCTCAGCTCCCGTGAGGCACCTCAGTGAAGACCAGATTCACAGTATGAGCCACCAGGTGCTGAACTCACTGAACTTTGCTTTATCATGAAATCTCTTGGGAATTGTAACTGTGAGGGGCCTGATGCCTGGCAGTGCAGAAGCCTGGAAAGTAAAGACACTGAACGCCTGTAACACAGTGTTGCAGGCTGGAGTGGTGATTAATACATCAGTGTGTATAAAACCCTTTGTATGGGGGAGAGGCTGTGTCAGTACTTCGGAGAACCCTTCTTGCTGGTCCGTAGACAAGGGGAATCTTAAAACCAGGCAGTGGGAGTGGGGGGTTTGGGAAGGAAGGTGGTTTCTGGAGGAAAGTGGCACCTCCTTCCTCTGAAGTAGCTGCAGGACAGAGACACTGGAACAGCATGGATATAACACCTCCAGCCGGGAGAAATGGCCTGTTCCTGGGAAGTCCCCACTATGTTGAAAGAATGGATTTAGCAGCCATAATCCTGCAGGCTCCCCCCCAGCATGAGTAGACGCACTGAGGTCATCGGGACTGCTTGCGTCTGTGAGGACCGCTTTGTGAGAACGAGGCTTTGCAGCCTCAGGCCCTGACTGCGGCAGGACATTGAACGCCATCCCTGTCTGCATGCCCCTTCGGTGCTGCCTTGGCTCAGGTGCCTGGAATTTCCCTTTGCAGGCTTCCCACTGAAGGGCTGTGCCACGTCGGTGTCCAGGGCCTAGAGGGAGAGGCCTGGTTATATTGGTTGCTTGGTAAAGGCAACACACACAGAGGAGAGGTTTCAGAGGCTGAAGTCATTCATTGCAGCGGGGGTGTCAGGGCAGGAAGGATCTCCAGTACCAGCCTGGCAGCAGGTGGCTGGAGAGAGGTGCTCATTCGTCCAGCACTACCTGCAACTGGGGAGCCTATCCTACACGGCAGAGCAGCCTCAGGCTTAAAAAAGAAGGGGATGGAGCTTCCTGCTGTGCAAGCTGGAATTGAATGGTTGAGGGGTGTGCATGTCTCTTTTTTGTAGGGACTGTTGACCCCCCCCCCCCGCATCTAAAATGGGAATGTATCCTCTCTGCTTTGTGATAACTCAGCCCTGCTGAGCATTGCTTTTCCCTCTGGCTGGATTCTTTTTTCTCCACCCCCCCCCCTTTCTTTTGGAGTGCAAGGAATGGTATGAATTAAAAAAATTAAGAGCTCTCCTCCTCCAACTCCTCCCCCAGCAGAGAGGCTTTACTCCTCTGGCACACACATGCACCCTGCAAATCACTGAGTTGAAACATTGCTCACCTTGACTATGGCAGGTCCTGATGCTTCCCTGGAGATGGCCCTGCAAAAGCGCGGTGCTAACGTTCGTTGAACCTCAGAGCGGCAGAGCAGAGACCTGGCTGGGAAAGCAAAGCTTTTGTTTATTTGTGTTTCCCACTTTATGTGCCAATCAGCCGGGGGGGTGCGGGGTGTCAGAAAGGACGACATTTTAACCAAGGGGATAGAATATAAATGATCCTTTTTTATAAAGGTTGGCCAGCATCCAGGCAACATTGAATTTCTTTGTAATTTGTTTTTGGAGCAAAGCTCTTTACAAGCTAATTATCGCTTTATTGCTGTTTCTGGCATCTGTGGTGTCTCCGCTATGTTTAGTGTCCAAATAACTTAATTATAAAAGCTTGTCAAAAGCGCAGTGAGCAGTGCAACAAAGGTGCGGGGCACAGCTGGTTGTTATGCACAGGGCCACGCGCACTGGTGTTACCATTGTAGTGGCAGCACCCGGCTCTGTGTCTTGTTCCGTTTTCACGGTGGGAGCTGCTGCTTTTTTGCATCCTCACTGACCCACGTGGCTCTTCTGGCTCCAGCTGCCTGCGACACTGAAATGTAGAGCAGAGATGATCGCGCCAGAGCATTTTTAGCATATGTCCCCCAGATGTGGGCCACTGTCATTCGCTGGAGGAAAGGCAGAGCCTGGGTAACTGGTATCAGTGACTAACAGGGAGGGAGCGTGTGGAATGGTTGGAGCAAGGGAACACAGGGCGAAAGTATGTGTGTTCTGCCGTGAGCTCAGTGCCTTAGCCCTTCATGTGTTCAAAATGCTGCCCTGACATTAGCTACTATCTCTGGGAGGTAGCAAGGTTAAATACCAAACACTGAGGCTTCAGCGAGTCAGTGGTGAAGCCAGGATTAAAATCTAGGAGCTCCTAGCTCCCAGCCCTGTGCTCGTTCCTGTAGGTGTAGAGGACTGGTTAATAATCGTTACTTCCCTGGGTATGTAAAATATCGTGGAGATCCTTGGATGAGAAGTGCTGATGCAGTGCGGGCTGGTGATGAAGGAGCACCTGGCTCAGTGCAGAACCGCCTCTCCTGTTTGCTCGGAGGTGGGCAGATCTGACTGACTTGGCAGTTGTCATGGGCAGAGGGGGGAGAATGACATCTCTCCTTACACAAATGCATTCAAAGCTCTCCTTCTTTTCTCATCCCAGTGCTTTGGAGGCTGCTGTTTCCCTGGGTGGTGAGGATTTGATCCCATTCTACAACCTGCTGGATGGTGGCAGAGACGGCGAATTCTTCAGGGTAATTTAAACTCACAACAAATGTTACGTGGTAACATCTGGTTAAGATTTTAGATTTAATTCATACCAGTCTGGCAATTTTTTTGTGTCCAAATCTGCTTTAACAACAATCTCATTGATATTCCTGTTAGTAAATCTTAAAAGAGGCTTATCTTCTGTGCCTATTGGGTAACTGCTCTTTGCTTTATTTCACTTAATTCCGTCTCAGGAGCTGGAGGACTATTTTTACTATGCACAGCTGCGGAGCCAGGGCATCGATACAATGGAGACCAGACAGGTGTCAACCCACATTCCCTTGGAGGAAGTTCCTTTTGTAATGCGAGCCATGGGGTATTATCCATCAGAGGAAAAGGTTTGTGTGGCTTTGTTATAGAGCATGATTGAGTTTACAGAGTACGTGTGCAGGCAGATCCCGATTTCTGGCCTTAAGCTGTTCAGTCTGGATCCAGGGTGCTGTGACTGTGGTAAGAATTTGGCTCTTTACTTTGCCCTATGCATTTTTTTTTTTAAATATTCAGTGCTTTTCGGGAACTGGGTGGCTCCAGGAACTTGAGATCAATCCTGTCCAGGTCAGGAGAGCTCACAGGTTTTCCTCTGACAGCTGAGCAGTGGCCTTGGTCTGGTTCCCAGTGGAATAAACATTGAAACACAAAAATCATCCACAGAGGAAACGTTCTGTGCTTTGGAAGGAACTGGGAGGGCATGGAGAATGATTTGAGACCCACCTGGAGTGTCATCTGCTGGTGTTTAGCCATAAACAAAGAGGATCTGAAACTCCTGGCTCTTTATACCATACTTGAAAACCTCTTGCAAGTTTTCCCTTTGTGCCTTGCCATATTTCCATCTTCCCTGGGCCCCATTCAGTGGAAGCTTTGTGCCTTGCAGTGACACTGAGAATAATCTCATGTGGAAAGAGCACCTATAGCTGTGTATGTTGCTGCGTTGCTAGATATCTTCCTTGACTCACCCTGGGGGAGGAAGGAATGTATTCTTCTAAAGCGTGGTGGCTGCAGGAAGCCTGAGGAGTATCTCCTTAAGAAAGTGTAACAGTAATACATTTCAGAGCAGCATCTCAGTGAAGGAAGCAAACACTAAACCGCCTTGAAACTAGGCAACCTTCAATCCACTGCACAAAGCAGATGGGACAAATATAAAAGCACGGAGAGATCATCTGTTTCCAGAGCATTTTCATAAAGAAAAAGCAGAAGGAGAAAAAAAATCAGCATGGGCCCACTAACAGGGCTTCTGGGAATTGGTGCTTTTCTTTTGTGCTTTGCTCAGGCTGGTATGAAACTGAAGCCCAGACCAGCTCACGGGGAATTCAAGTTGCTGTTTTTGCCTGGCACATTCATAGGAGGAACAGAAGTCCATATTTCCATCTTCCCTGGGCCCCATTCAGTGGAAAAACTTGTAACATGAGGACAAAGGCCTAGGGCTGAATGCAAAAGCTTCCCCAGGGAGCTCTTGCGTCAGCGTCCCTTCCTGGGGAGTAGAATGCTTGGTACGTGTTGGCACTGGGAATTGTCCCAGCGTTTAGCTCTGCTTGTCTCTGCAAGGAGGCTGGCTCTTCAAGCAGAGCACAAAGAAGGCATGGAACAGAACCTGCCTTTTGAGCAAACATCTGCAAGGCTGTGTGCTGCTCTGACACAGCGCCAGGTTTCAGGGAGACTGCTAGTGACAAGGACAGGCCTGGACTGCCTGACTGCCCAATAGAAGAACTTCTTTATGAGTGATGCAGGGGAATAAAGGGCAGGATGTGGGACCCTTTGGGCAAATTCCAGCTCTGTCTTCTGCAGTTGCAGAGGGCCCCAGAGGCAGTTCGGCTCCGGATGTGTGCGCGCTGGGAGCGGGGGCAGGGAGAAGAGGCTTTCTGAAGCTCATCCAGGGTGTGCACATCATGTAGCCCAGCTGTAGAGAGAAGAGTCCTCGACACAGTTGTGTCGTGGGGTGGATACACTGCTTTGTGCATTGACTGCCTGAAATCCCCTGACTGGAGATGCAGCTGCAAGGGAGGGTTGCAGGAGCAGCCACGGCATACTGCGCCTGTGTTGTGTGGCATGGCCAGACTGATTCCCGCCCCCCATCTCATTTTGATTTCTGGACATATTTCACAACCAAAGATTTCCCCAGTATATTGCATCCCAGGCAAAATGCTTTCCTGAGACGAGAAAGACCCTGGAGTATTGCTGGCGTGGATGTAATTGTGATTGTAATAAACAGCAACTGCTCTGAAGTGACGTGGTCAGCTAAACGAGGCTGGATTCTAATCATAGTGATACTTGCGTAAACCCCGAGTAACTCAGCTGGCTCCGGTGGAAGAGCCCGGATTTGTCCTGGCATCGCTGAGATCAGAAACTAGCCTCGTACTTTAAAATAAAAGAAGCCTTTTTATAGCAGTGTCTCTTGCCTTGACTTTTAGATTGAAGATATAATAAATGAAGTAAAATTCAGTGAGTACGTGGCTACTGGGAAGCAGGTTACCAAAATCAATTTGGGAGATTTTATCAAACTCTACATAAATCATCGACCAGCATTTGGCTTGTCGGTTAAAGAAATACAAAGTGCCTTTCAAGTTCTTGGCTATGAAAATGAGAACGGAGAAAAAGTTATTAAGAGAGGAGACTTGCTACAGCTGCTTCAGTGTAGAGGTGAGCAATTATTCTTCCGGACATTAGCATGAGGTTTGCTGGTTCTGTCCCCCAGTTTGAAAGTATCAATGGCAGAAAAAAAAGTGAGTCAGAGACCTAGCTCTGTCCCTATGGTTTTACCCCATCTGTCTCACAACTTAACATTAAATAATTAAACACATTGTAGTCTCCTCTTTGGAAATCACTGCAAGCTTGAAGCACCCCCACTGCTGCATGCAGAGTTCCAGACCTTGAAAATTATTAAAGTGACATTTTATACACTGATACACTCTCCAAAAAATCAGTAGCAGGAATTGAAGGGGAATCCAGAGGTGAGTGAGGAAAGCAATTAGAGGCCTGGAATGAACTCTACAAAGCGGTACTGTTTGGCTTAAAAATCACATGAATGAAAGGGACTTGAACAAAGGACTTGATCCTATGACCCCAGCTGAGATCCTATGACCCCAGCTGACTTCCTGCCCTTTGGGCGGGGGGCTGGACTCAGTGATCTTCCAAGGTCCCTTCCAGCCCTAATGTCTATGAAATCTATGAAAACAAATGTACTGAACATTATGAATGATCCCAACCTTGAGAAGGTAAATACTGGTAAGGTACTTCTACTTCCATTTTTTATTATAAGAAGAAGTTGGATGTTCAATTAAGTTTAAAGGAAGCAAGCTTAAAAACATGCAAGGAAATATTGTTTATTCAGCAACAAATCAATCTGTGAAGCCCATTGTCACAAGGCTTCATCGAGGTGAAGGGCTTCTTTACAGAAGGATGTTGACAAGAACTAGACGTTGATATGAATGGTGAGAACATCCACAAGTAGATATATGAAGCAGGATAAAATATTTGTGTAAGAGAAAGAAACACTTGTGCTCTAGGACAGAAGCTGAGCATTAACTGGGTTGGCTTAGGAATACATTGTTCTGTGCAGGTTATTCCATATGAGTTTCTTGCTCCTGCTGTGAATGGCTGTGGCACAGGCCGTGGCACATATAGAGTACTGGACTGCATGAGCTACTGGGATTTCCTTTGAAAAGGAAATTGCAAAATGACTCAACAAACCAGGTCCAGTAGAGGCCCCCCCCAGATATGAGACACTTTTATAGTGCACTCGAACAATTTTCTCTAGGATTAAATTTCTTCCATGAGGATCATTCAGTGTGAGTGGTGCTGGCGGCACCTTGAAGGAGCCCCGTGACTTTTTCAAACCATGTTACTTTGGCTTCCCACTACTCTTGCTCCAGATGTGGGTTAGGTTTGCATGAAAGATATTGAAATCTTAATAAGAGACTGTTTTCATTTTACTGTATGCAGGGGAGCACATGACAGAGGAGGAACTGGCAGAGTGTCTTTCCACCCTGCTGGGCATGAATCCTGAGGGAGGAAGATCTGAGCTAGGTACTTGTGACCCCACAGGTAAACACTTAATATTCTGCAAAGCACAGAAGTTTAAATTTCTTCAGCTCCTTTAACACAATAATGCAACCTGCAAACCCTATCGCCCTCGGTCCAACAGCTGTCAAAAATGTGCATCTGAGATTGCAAACGCAGTCAGAGTGCACGAATCAAAGATGATGCGTAGCCCTAACTTCCATGGGTATTGGATATTCATGCCCAGTCTATGAATCAAGTGTGCCAATGTGTAACAGTCTAAAACAGCATCCAGTGAGAGTTTTCTGCAAAGGATCTCTGCCTGCTGAAGGTGCTCTTAGAAGGAACTGCTTAGTGGCATAAGCCCCAGCCTTGATTAAAATAAATTCAGAGTAGGGTAGAAATACCACTGTTTCATTCTGAGGTAGATCCATTAAGTGCCGCACAATTTTCTGGATGTGGGGCTTGCAGATGAGACTTTGCTAACCAAAGACCAGTATATTCTGCACATCCCAGGCCGCCTTTGTAAGAATTAAAGCTTAAATCTGTTCTTTTCCCCCTACATTACTTGAAACAGGAAGTCGCTTTAGTCTTTAAAGCAACTGAATAGTTTTTTGAAATCTGAATAACCATATCCGAGATCGAGCACATCAATAATGACATTAGAACCATTTTAAAGGCATTCACAGACAAGGAATGAAAATAACCTCGTCACGATTCGCACGGTCAGAAATGGAAGAGACCGACTACAGTGCGTAGATCACTTAGTCTGTGTCTAGTCCTCAGTGGCTGTAGGGAACGTGCTGCATCTCATAGGATCAGGCCCTTCTTTTCTCCTCGCAGGAGATGTATCACTTTAACACTTAACGCTATTTAAGACCTCTTTTGTATACCTTTGTGGACACTTTACCCCCAGACTACTGGTTACCAGTGTTAGTGATCGGGGAAACTTGACTGTTTTGTGGGGGGGTGTTTGGCTTTTTTTTCCCCTCCAGGTGCAGCAGGTTTGATTGAAGAAGAAATTCCAGAGGAAATCACAGCAGAGATATTCACTGCTGACATTCTTGGCTTACCTATTCCTGAACCAGAAAAAAACAGACTAGAAAAAACAGATGGACGCATTAGCAGTGAAAGGTCTGGAAAGGTATAATTGCCATGGCGTTCGTAGTTTCCTTGTATTTTTTTTTTAAGAAATAAAGAGAATTTCAGGTGTATGGAATTCCAGGGGATCCTATCAGATCGGTGTTATCAAGAGATTAGAAATACTCCCAAAGACTGGCCAAACAGCACTGCGGCTTGGGTGGCTGATCAAGAGGACGTGGCTTGCTCTGTGCGCAGGGTAGGAAACACCCAGTAAACGCCCTGAAAGACGCAAAATCAGGAAGGGTTAAATGAACGTGCGGCTAACGCCAGCATCGTAGTTTCCATTGCCGGTGCCTCTCCAAGGGGTGACACTGCGGTCCTGCTCCCAGACCATCCAAGCCCGTTAGAGATGCATCGGTTTCAGGGAGAAGGAAACCTGAACCGGTGTAGTTGCTTTATGCCATTAATAATCCTCCTTCCCAAGAGGGTTCTTCCTGTGCCTGGTAATGCTGGTGTCAAGGCAGGTTTACATCAGGGCTCAGCGCGAAGCTTCGGTAATGTATTCCAGTCTCAGCACGTTAAAGTTTGTTCACAAAAAACGGGCTGTCAAATAGCAATTAATAAGTACAGTATCTGATGATATGCATTGATAAGTGCAGTATACGTTACGCCTGGATGGTTAATTAGACGCAGATCCAACAAATCTCAGTCGAAGGAAGCGCATTCTATTTAGGGACGATGATTAAAAATTGAGTTTCCTTTTTTTGCTCCTTCGACTTTGTTTTTCTCTCTGGAAATGTTAATTCTAATTAGCCGTGTAATACCAATGGGACAGCATCTTACTCGGTGTGTGTGTATAAACAGCATAATGAAGCTGATGCAAGTTGCTGTAGAAAGATTCAGTGAAGAGCTGTTGAGCACATTTCCTTCTTTACATCATCCTCGGCATCAATTTGAATAATGTAGACCCTTGTGAAGTGTTCCTTTCAGCCGCGCTGCTTGTAGGATGGAGATTAGCGCTGGATCGAGCAGAAAGAGCAGGCTATAAAGGGTGTCGTTTGCTTTCCAGCCGCCGTGTAACGAAGGGTCCGATAGTGCAGGGATGTGATACTAGAAAGGCGTCACTTTGCATGACTCCCCCCCTGCCCTCTTTATTGATGTCTCCCCCCGTTCACTGATCCTATTGATGTCTGCTGGCCCCTTTATCAGTGCCATTGATGTTTCCCGTTTATCGATGCCATTGATGTCTCCCGTCCCCTTTATCGATGCCATTGATGTCTCCCGTCCCCTTTATCGATGCCATTGATGTCTGCCTCCCCTTCATTGATGCCATTGATGTCTCCTGTCCCCTTCGTTGATGCCAGTGATATCTTCCCCCTCTTAATTGATGCCATTGATGTCTCTTGTCCCCTTCGTCGATGCCACTGATGTCTACCCCACACTTTATTGATGTCTACCCCCCTTCATCGATGGCATTGATGTCTACCTCCCCCTGTATCGATGCCTATATGGATAAATGACGCTATCGACACACACATATGCATAAACGTCTCTCCCCGTGCCTCGCGTCAGGTCCTCGGTGGCTCTAAATCGCCGCGAGTCCGCCGTCTCGGCGGTGTCGAGGCGTGTCTCTGACCCAGCACCGGTTGCAAAGTCTGCGGCGGGGTGCGCGCCGCACTCCCGGTCGCACACTGCCGGCCCTCGGCCTCCGTGCCAGTCGCATGGCACAAGTGGCACCCCCGCACCGGGGCAGTAAGCACGGTGGTCAGGGACGAGCGTGGACCCTGCTCTGTGGTGTGAGGGTCGGGGCAGGGGCCACCTCAGGCGTGGCGGGCGCCCGTGTTTTGGGGCTCGAGGCCCAGGCCCGGCTGGGTGCCTGAGGCGCGGCGCGGCGCGAGCGGGACCCCC